ATACAGGAAAAGTCCACGAAATTTGGAGAACATTAAGATGGCTCAAAACAAGTTCCAGCACTTAGATTTTGATGAGTCGTTATAACAACTCTTAATCACTTGATGCTACAATCATCGTATCAAAAAACTGCCATCATTGGTGAACATGTTGTTATCATTTTCGTGACACAATAGGTTACCATAGCAGCAGTATGAATTCCTAAAGACACCCTTAATTACAGCTTTAGGGGCTTATATTTCAAAAACGGCACGATAAAATTTTTCAACTTTTGATAAGCATGATAAGACGCAACGTTTAGCAATGTTTGAAAAAATTCTGTAGGTAGGGTTCAGAGCCACCTTAAATTTTCGAAAACTTAAGGTGGCTCTGAACCCTACCAACAGAATTTTTTAAAATTTGCCAAAAGTTGCGTCTTTTCATACTTATCAAAAGTTGATAATATAAAAAAAAATCACCGTGCCGTTATTTAATTATAAGCTGTAAAGCTGTAGTTAACGGTGTTTTTAGAAGGTCATACTGTTGCTATGGTAACCTATTGCGTCACGAAAATGATAATAACATGTTCACCAATGATTGAGCAGTTTTTGATACCATGATTATAATATCAAGTGATAAAGAGTGGTTAACGACCCATCAAAATCTTTGTGTTGGAAACTGTTTTGAGCCACCTTAATTTACCAGCGTTGTTGCGGGCTTGTATTGGGGACCGTTTCTCGAAAGCTCCGGAAAGTTTTCGGGTGAGCAAAGACATTTTTAATTAATATGTTTCTAAAAACAGAGAAGGGTATAAACCTGAAACTTTTTGTATGAAGAGAACCTCTCTTCACATTAGGAATACGTGAATAAACAAGCTTTGTAATCGTAGGGTTTGAGATTTTGCTACGGTTTTCCGGGTGCGAAAATGTTTCGGGACCTTCGAGAAACGGACCCCTGGATGGGTTTAAGGTGGTACAATGTGATATGCCATAATCAAAGAACAGTACACAACATTCAGTTTTACGAACAGTGAGTAATGGTCACTTACTCCCAACATCCACGGTTCCCAGCACCATTCCCTTCGCGTTATCAGGCACAGTCCCACATGTATATTCTAGCAAACTGTAAGCCTGTAGGAAAACCAATTTTACTGCAATTTTAATACTTAGATGAAAGTGTTACATAGTAAGAACATAAATAACAGAGATAAAATCTGGAAAGAAAATCTCAGGTAGAGGAAAAAATTATTGATGTCGATCAGACCAAGAAAAATGTTGGACTGTCACGAAACGAAGGGCTCATGCACAATGTAGAACTACACATTCCCTGTCTTTTCCACTTACCCATATTTTGTAGCTTCCGTACTTTTTCGGAGTTTTAATTTTCTTGCTGAATTTATACTTCCAGCAGTTCCACATTTTGTCAGGATTTCTCTCGGTTCTAGGCACA